TTTGGACATGCATATGTCTTTTTTTGTGTGTGTGCCTGAGACAGGGTCTCTCTCTGTTGCCCAGGCTGGAGTGCAGTGGCATGATCACGGTTCACTGCATCCTCAGTTTCCAAGGTTCAAGCGATTCTCATGCCTCAGCCTCCTGAGTAGCTGGGATTACAGGCATGTACCACCACACTTGACTAATTTTTATATTTTTATTAGAGACAGGGTTAACCTTGTTGGCCAGGCTGGTCTCCAACTCCTGGCCTCAAGTGATCTGCCTGTCTTGGCCTCCCAAGTTGCTGGGATTACAGGCCTGAGCCACTGTGCCCAGCCATGGATTAATCACTTTTCCTTCTTTTACTGGTGAGTGAAAGTACATTTGCTCTACTAGTTTGTATTGTTAGGGTTTGGTTTGGTTTGGTTTGGTTAGCCATTCTGGTGAGTATAGTAAATATAACAGGTTGAATATCCCTTATCTGAAATACTTGGGACCAGAAGTGTTTTAGATTTCAGGTTTGTTTTTTTTTTTTTAATTGGAGTATCTGCATTATACTTACTGGTTGAGCATCTCTCATTCAAAATTCTGAAATCTGAAATGCTGTCAGTAAGCATTCCCTTTGAGTGTTGTGCAAATGCTCAAAACATTTAGGATTTTGGAGTAATTTGGAGTTCATATTTCTGGATTACGGTACTCTATCTGTAGTGTATGTTCTTGATTACCAGTGATGATAAATATTTCATGGTTTACAGACCACATGGTCTCTGTCCTAGCTATTCGGCTCTGCTACTGCAGTGTGAAAGCAGCCAGTACTATAATACCTAAACAAATGAGGGTGGCTATATTCCAGTAAAACTTAACTTACCAAGAAAAAACCACTGAGTTGGGTTTGCTCCATGAGCCGTTTGCTTACTCCTGTATTAACTCAGTTAATTGGAGAGGAAACACCAGAAGTCATTTATGGGATATAGGACTGTTAAAAACCTTCGTTTTTTGAGAAGAGAGGGAGTAGATATGATGTTTTCAGAGTTCATTTTAAACATTTTTTAAAACTTAGACTTTATACAATTTTTTTAAAATTTTTTATTTAAAAATATAAAGACAGGGTTTCACCATGTTGGCCAGGCTGGTCTTGAACTCCTAACCTCAGGTGATCCACCCGACTCGGCCTCCCAAAGTGCTGAGATTACAGGCGTGAGCCACCACACCCAGCCTACAATTCTTAATATACCACAAAATAACTATTGCCTTATCTGTTATTTTTCAAATTGACCTTTATTACAAAAAACTGATAAAAATAAATATTGGGGAATGTTTCAGAATTTAACTTTATAACCCAGACTTATTTCTCTCTCTCTCTTTTTTTTGTCTTATAGTACAAAAACAATTTTTTTTATGAGAGAAAATAAAGCATTGGGTTGTTTTTTTTTTTGCCTTTTTAAGTATGTAGTTCATTGATACAAAATACATTGGAAATGTTATGCAGCCATCACTACTATTCATTTCATAATTCTTTTCACGTTGTAAAACTAAAACCCTGTGTCCATTAAGCAAGAATCCTCATTTTCCCCTCCCCACAACCCCTGGCAACCACCATCCTACTTTTTGTCTTTATGATTTTGAGTATTCTACCTTTATCTACCTGTATAGGTGATATCATACAGTATTTGTCTTTTTGTGACTGGCTTATTTCACTTAACATAATGTCCTCGAATTTCATCCATGTTGTAGCATATGTCAGAATTTCGTTCCTTTAAGGCTGAATGATGCTCTGTTTGTATACCACATTTTGCTTGCCTGTTTATTAGTTGATGGGCACTTGGGTTGCTTCTGTGTTTTAGCTGTTGTAAATAATGCTATTATGAACATGGATGTTCAGATATTGCTTTGAGACCCTGCTTTCAATTCTGTTTTTTGTTTTTTGGTTTTTTTTTTTGCTTTCAATTCTTTAGTTATTTGTTTGCTTGTTTAGATGGAAGATAAAACCATGAGCTCTGTCTCTGTGGGTATTGTTTTATTATCAATCAGATGAAAAGAAATAATCATAAAAAAAGTTTGATAGTCCAGCTTGATTGTCTAAATTTTAGAAGGCAGATTCTAAAATGAGTAATCCTAGAATTTAGCTGTGATAACATCTAGTGCTGTATACATTTTGTCTTTATAGCCAAATAGCCACATTGAATTTTTATATTATTTATTTTTTATTGAGGTAAAATGTACACATATAATATAGAATATACACATCTTTACCTTTTTGGTTGGTGGGGGCACAGAACAGAGTCTCACTCTGTCACCTAGGCTGGAGTGTGGAGTGCGGTGGTGTGATCTTGGCTCACTGCCACCTCCGTCTCCTGGGTTCAAGCAATTCTCCTGCCTCAGCCTCTCAAGTAGCTGGGATTACAGGTGCCTGCCACCACACCTGGCTAATTTTTTGTATTTTTAGTAGAGACAGGGTTTCACCACGTTGACCAGGCTGGTCTCAAACACCTGACCTCAAGTGATCCTCAGCCTCCCAAAGTGCTGGAATTACAGGCATGAGCCACCGCATCTGGCCATCTTTACCATTTTTAAGTATACAGTTTAGTAGTAATAAATACATTGATATCTTTTTTTCCTCCCTTCATCCCCCACCCCCACCTACTTCCCAGCCTCTGGTAACCACCAGTCTGTTTATCTTTATGAGATCCACCTTTTTAACTCTGACATATGAGTGAGAACATGCAATAGTTATCTTTCTGTGCTTGGCTTATTTCACTTAACATAATGGCCTCTAGTTCCATCCATGATGCTGCGAATGACAGGATTTTATTCATTTTTATGGCTGAATAATATTCCATAGTATAGATATACCACATTTTCTTTATCCATTCATTTATTGATGGGCACTTAGGTTAACTTCATGTTTTGGCCATTGTGAATTGTGCTGTAATAAACATAGGAGTATAATGATCCCCAATATATTGATTTCCTTTGCTTTGGATATATATACCCAGTAGTGATATTGCTGGATACAGTACTATGGTAATTCCATTTTTAGTTTTTTGAGGACTCTCTATATTGTTCTACATAGTGGCCTTGCTAATTTGCATTCCCACCAACAGTGTATAAGTATTCCGCTTTTCTCTACACCCCTGCCAGCATCTGTTACTGATTTTTTTTTGGGGGGGTGGAAAGAGTCTTCAGAGTCTTCCTCTATTGCCCAGGCTAGAGTGCAATGGCACGATCTCAGCTCACTGCAGCCTCTGGTTCCCAGGTTCAAGTGATTCTTAGCCTCTGCCACCCAACTAGCTGGCATTACATGCACTACCATGCCTACCTAATTTTTGTAAATCCCAAAGTGCTGGGATTTACAGGTGTGAGCCACTGTTCCCAGCCTTGCCCGTCTTTTTGATACAAGCCATTTTGACTAGGGTGAGATGATATCTCATTGTGGTTTTGGTTTATATTTCTGTGATTAGTGATTAGCATTTTTTTTTAATATAGCTGTTGACCATTTGTATGTCTTTTGAGAAAAGTCAGTTCAGATGTTTTGCCCATTTGTAAACCAGATTATTTGGTCTTCTGCTATTGAGTCTGAGCTCTTTATATATTCTGGTTATTAGTCCTTTTTCAGATAGACAGTTTACAGATACTTTCTCCTGTTCTTCAGTTTATCTCTTTACTTTGTTGATTGTTTCCTTTGCTATACAGAACTTTTTAGCTTGATATAATATAATAATACCCGTTATCTTTCTTTGCCTCTGCCTTTGCGGTCTTACACAAAAAAAGCTTTGCCAAACCGATGTCCTTCTTTCATTTCTTTGGTTAGGTTGATTCCTAGGTGTTTTATATATTTTTTTAGCTATTGTAAATGGAATTGCTTTCTTGGTTTCTTTTTCAGATTGTTTACTGTTGGTGTATATAATGGCTACTCCAAAATTTATTTTTCTTTCTTGTTCCACTCATTGGAATAAGAAAAGAGAGATAATTTAGTAATGTGTATACTTAAGGATTAAAATTCACGTCATTCATCTCCAAATATTCATGCTATAGGAATGGATATATACCAGTAACTCACATTTTTCAATAATTTATGTAATTCACATCAAAATTCCTATTTTGGGTCAGTAAGTATTGTTTTCAATCTTAATTTCTATTCTTTCTTTCTTTTTTTTTTTTTTTTTTTTTTTTTTTTTTTTTTTTTTTTTTTTTTTTTTTTTTTTTTTTTTTTTTTTTTTTTTTTTTTTTTTTTTTGAGACAGAGTCTTGTTTTGTTGCCAGGCGCCAGGCTAGAGTGCAGTGGCATGATCTCAGCTCACCGCAACCTCTGCCTCCTGGGTTCAAGCAGTTCTCCTGCCTCAGCCCCCCAAGTAGCTGGGACTACCAGCGCGCACCACCATGCCCAGCTAATTTTTGTATTTTAGTAGGGATGGTGTTTCACCATGTTGGCCAGGATGGTCTCTATCTCTTGACCTTGTGATCCACTCACCTCGGCCTCCCAAAGTGCTGGGGTTACAGGAGTAAGCCACCATGCCTGGCAAATTTCTTAGATTTACTTATTAGTTTAGATAAGTAGAAACTTAATGGAAGTTTCAAAATGTGTTACAGATTTCTGGAACATGGCAATTTGTTTACTGAGGTAAAAACTTTAGATGGAGAGATTATTTTTAAAAAATAAAGGTATGCTTGTAGCCTTTTTGCATAACTTAAGTTACAAAAGATTTTCATTTCTTCTTAAAAATTATTAGGCTTTTGACAAGTATAGCACCTGTAGTCCTAGCTACTTGGGAGGCTGAGGCAGGAGGATTGCTTGAGCCCACAAGTTTGAGGCTGCAGTGAGCTATGATCGTGCCACTGCACTCCTGCCTGGGCAACAGAGCAAGATCCTGTCTCAAGAAAGCAAAGAGGTATATGTGTTTTACATGTGTGCTAATTTGTAGAAACTGAACAGATTTGATTTCTTCCTACTATTTTAGCTTCTTTTGATAATGAGAATGATTGGAATTAATCACTTTTGGGGGAATACACATATTTCACAGAACTAGAAGAACAGACTCGAAAAGCTCTAGAACTGGATCAAGAACGAAAACGAGCAAAAGAAGAAGCAGAGAGGCTTGAAAAGGAGCGTCGAGCTGCTGAAGAGGCAAAATCTGCCATAGCAAAACAAGCTGCCGACCAGATGAAGAATCAGGAGCAGCTAGTAAGAAACTATCTTAGGTCTATCTTAGAGAAGAAAGTTTAAATTATAAAGCATGGAATGGAGTGAACCCTCTAAAAAGAAAAAAACGAAAAGCAACCATTTTGTACTTTCTGGAAAGCAAGCCAAAGATAACATGTGACTTAATAACAAAATGTGGACAAAAACTTAAAGATTTTATTTCTTCCGAAACAAAACCTAAAAATACAAAAGAATAAGATACTTTTCTATAGATTATTTGTAAATGGAGTCTTCTGTCAGCAAAAGATTCTAATTCACTTTGACTTTGGATAGGCCCTGCAGTAAGTCAGTTGCTTTAGATAAATTAATATATGTTATAGTTCCTGTGAGATAACTATAGGCCATAATTGGTTGGGTTTTTTTGTTTATTTAGTGGACTTGCTAATAATTAGGTGTATGCATGTCATTTAAAAGATCCTGGATTTAAATGTTAGTTTACACATTTACTTGCTATGTGTCTTTGGGTCTTTTTGAGCCTCGGTACCCTCCCTTTCAAAAGAGGAATGATGGCTGGTTGCAGTGGCTCTCACTCATAATCCCAACACTTTGGGAGGCTGAGGCGGGCCGATCACCTGAGGTCAGGAGTTCAAAACCAGCCTGGCCAACTTGGTGAAAACCCATTTCTACTAAAAATACAAAAATTAGCTGGGCACACTGGTGCGCACCTATCATTCTAGCTACTTTGGAGGCCGAGGCAGGAAAATCGCTTGAACCCGGGAGGCAGAGGTTGTGGTGAGCCAAGATCATGCCACTGGGCTCCAGCCTGGGGGACAGAGACTGTGTCTCAAAAAAAAAAAAAAAAAAAAAAAAAAGGAATGATGCTAACTGTTATTGATACTACCTGACCTGTTTAGATTATTGTGGAATTAAATGACATGATTTGACGAAGTGCCATTTAAAGTACATAGCATTATATAAATGTTTTTTCTCTTGTAGACTTCAGAAATAGTTTATTGATGAAAGTTTTTTTAAAAAGCTCCTAAGTTACACATTTTAAGTTCCTGCTACTGAAAGCAGGATTAACTACTCATCTGTAGAGTAATAATAATCTGTTAATTTTGTCTCCTCCTTAGCTCACTACCTCAAGGACTTTCTGTAATAATAAGCTGTTTAAGATCTTTTTTTTTTTTTTTTTTTTT